TAACAATCTTCCAATAGGAATGATGAGACCCAACTACCATTGGCAATGTTTTACCTTCAGAATAGTGAATCTTATAAATCATCTCCCAAAAGAGTATTATTATACATTTTCTAAAAAACCAAAGCCAAAACAAAACAACAACAACAACAAAAACAACTCATTGGCTGGAAATAGTTTATACGTCCATCCTCATCTCTTTTTTTTGAAAAGTACACTAAAATGTAGCCAATGTCCTTCCTCCATGCCTATGACCTCTTCCCTCCGTATGCCACAATAAAGTTATTATTTTTTTAAGGCCAACATTTCTGTTTCCAAAGAGGGAGGAGAAAGAATGAATTCTATTAATGAATTACATACATGGAATGTTGGCTTGGTCCAGGATAATTTTATTTGTAAATAAGTGGTTTCCTGGTTATTATGCGCTTAACACTGAAAAACTATGAAGCCTAGAAACATTGTAACACAGAAAAGCTTACATCTCAGACCTGATCACCCCAATACTCTTTATACCCTCATCTCTCTCTCCAATGAAAATAGGTAATCTTATAACATAGGTTGTAAAAATTGGCCTCCATAACCACCTAGGTTAACCAGTATACATGTTCTTTATAGCTTACAGTTTTGCTCAAGTTAGGACATACTTTCAGGTGCCGCTAAGGTATCAAGATCTCTGTAGATGTCAACTTTAAAGTTGTTTTTTTTTTTTAAATGAAAGCAGCTTGAGATTGGGAGCTTTTAAACATGCAGGAAAAGTGGTTGGTGTGTAAGTGTATGAATGCAACACAGCCATCCATCTCTTCCCAGCTTTTGCTTATTTGCCACTGCTCAGCTATGCTTTGATATCCATCTCATTATCTCTGCAGAAAGCAGGGGGCTAAGATCTTGGATGCTGTTGGACTTTATCGGTTCTACTCCTCACATAGTGGCAACTACTCTCTCCTCTGCCTTTCTTATTTAAATGTTTGGTACAAGCTTTTATTTTAAAACCTGCAGAAATCGAGTCTGAAGGAGAGAAACTCTTCCCTTCTGCGCGCGCGCACACTCGCACACACGCACACACATACAGAGACTCGCGCGCGCACCAACACATCTGAAAAAGTGCCTTGCACCCAGTTGAAAAACTGCCAAACCTTTAATTCTACAACAGGAGGCTATCGTCCAGAATTTCACTGAAACTTTCCTTCACCCCAAATCCCCCAAATAGTACCACCTTTCTAAACAACCTTCACTTGTTTCTTAACAATGTTCTTTCTATAGTAACCAACTTGTATTCCTATTGTCGCCTTTACAGTTTTTAAACATTAATTCCTCCCTACCCCCCCAACATTCCATTCTTAAATTACTACTGCAGAACGAGGGTTTTGTGTTTGTTTGTTTGTTTGTTTAAAGTATTTGTTTCTATTACCCAGAGCATCGCGTTTGATCTCTCGATTTTGCAATCAGACTTTTGGGGAAGGGGATCACTGAGGTTGTGGCCACGGCAATTGTTTCGATTTAGAAGCTCCTCTCTAATGGAGTCTGAACCAGAAGGGGACGTTTGGAATCAGGAAGGGTGCAGAGAAAGCGAGCCTGAGACATCAGCCCCATGCAGCCCCCAAACCACCACACAAATACCCACCAAAGCTCGGAAATTCAGCAAAAGTTGATTTGAGCTCAGTAAGGTAGAATGCCTTTCGCTCTACAACCACCATCGTCAGGGCCTTCAAGTATTCGCAAGCATCTTCCTTACTCTCACCGACTTGCCCGCCAACTTAACTTTAATAACTTTCTCTTCTCTTGTAGCTTGTTTTCTCCAGTGGCCACTACTTTTCTCTTAATTGAACTCCACTGTAGTTTAGTCTCTGTGGCTCCCAGTGCACTGATATTTTTTTCTTTTTTTAGATTGGATAGGGGTAGGGAATAGGAGAGTGAAGAAGCAAAAACTATATGTTTCAAAAGGTTTCGGTTTACAGCTATCAGTAACATTGACAGACAGCTCCATTTAAAAAAAAGAGAGAGTTTTCTACTGCTTTTGAAAAGCCGTTATTTTTTACATCGCTTTTAGGAAGATAGATTAACAAAACGTCACATTTCAAGCTATTCTGATCTGTAATTAAATGGAGGAGACGGGTTGTATTCTCCTATGGCTTTAACAGAAGTTGCAGTGATCCAAAGTCAGGTTGCTGTGTCAGAGTGGCATTTTTATTAATGAGAATACAAAAAGCTTGCATATTCTTAGCCCTGCTTGAATTTAGTTGCTAAGCAACCGGTGTATGGTAATTCATCCGCGAAATTTAAATCTTTGAGAAAGGATCGTGCGTTTTGCTGAATGGTCGCCACGAGGAAAACAACTTGTGGGATCCGCAGCAGCTGCCACTGGTGAGCTGCACAGTCTGGCTGCGGCGGAAGGCCTGAGCAGCAGGCTGCCTCCCTCCTTCCCTGAAGGTCTCCCATTGCCCACGAAACAAAAATCAGGTTAGAGACGGCCTGCCAGGCGGCAATAACAACAATACAAATGACAATACTAATAATAAACAGAAACTTACCACTCAGTAGCATTCAGTTGCTTTTCTTACACACTGAAACACTCAAACACACACTGTTATTGAACACCTTCCCTCTTTACCTTTATGTTTATTAAAAAGTCTCCTATTTATACCTGAATCATGCTGCCACACCTGAAATCAACTGCATCTCTGAACTTCTTGAGACTGATTCACTGCTATCCTCACTCTTCCCCCCCCCACATTACCAACCAACCAAACAAACAAAAAGACCAGGCACACCCACTCACCCACTATTTTGCCATTAGCACGGTCTGTTAACTGTGCTCACAGACCCATCTGAGGTCACTTCCAGAGTTGATTTTTCCTTTAGGAAAACCGACCTCATAAAAGAAATCAATCCACCCAGTCTGCCAGAAGACCAGTCTCCTGAAGCTGAAATAGAGTTACATCATAGGTCCATGCTTTCCACATTCGCACTCACATTTTAAGATACGGGAACGAGCACGGATGTTAAACCAAGAACGAAAAAGAATGATCTAATTAATAGGTCATAATCTGATCTAACAAAACCAAAAGCATTTGATTAAATAGTTCCTGTCCCACTACCTCTCCCCACTAGCCCCTTCTTTCTCCCCCAAGTCCTCCAACTTTCCCCTGTATTCCCTTCTCTGGGGTAAAGCAGGTTAAAGAGTAAAACACTGAGCCCACTGATTTCCTTATGGAAGTCAAGGTCAAGCCTTCGGTGCAGCACTAGCAGCCAAGATGTCACGTGAGTGACCTGCAGATCAAGGGTAGGTAACAGCAGCTCTAAGGAGCCGGGATAAGCTAGTGTCCCACATGCACAAAGTTAAAGTTGGGTAGTCAAGACCACACAGCCATTTTCGTCCTATCAGCCTCCCTTCCCTCTTTATTGTTAGGTTATTTTGCCAATTGCTAGATGGGAAGAAAGAGATTCTGTTCTTCCGTATCCATCCTGAATGGCCTTATTATTATTATTATTATTTTTGGTCTGCTTTACTCCCCCCCCCCCCGAAAATAGCGAAAGCCAGACCCAAAGCATCTTGCTTTGAAGGGTCCATCGATACCTCCAACCCCTCAACTCTCTTTATTTCTATCTCTCCGATCCAAGACTGAATACAGCCAAGTATTTCCAAATGAAATAGAAAATAATTGGGTTTGTCACCGGTACGTTGCATCTGTTTTCGTCTTTCTAGCCAGCCACGTGCATTCAACAAAATAAGAGAATTCCCTAAGAATTTCTATCTTCTTGCCTGGGGGGGGAGGGGGAAGGTCTGGGTCCTAAATAATTAATTTCAACTCTATATCTAGTGCCAATACTTGTTGCATCTATTTTAGAATTTGATTAATTACCCTAGAACTTGGGCAAACTAAACTCCAAGTGGAGAGAATGTTTCTCTCCTACAGTTTAGTTCCAAAAACTACAACTTATTGATGGATCTCACTCTGTTTACCATACAAATTGGTGTAAGTATATCCATCTCTTAAAATGTATTTATGCATAAGTATATGAAAGCAGCATTTTTGCTTTAACTTGAAGAGGTTGATCATTTATTACAAAAATAAAACGAATAAATACAACAATATATTGTTGCTTTCAACAGGATAAATATTTTACAAATATATAATTTAAAAAACAAATTTAATTGTTAAAATTATTTAAAATATCACACTTATTGATAAAACTATCAATAGTATATACTGCATTTCATATCAGAACCAATTTTTCTCTGAACGTTCCATTGAAAACCATTCATACAGAACAAGTCATGAACATTGCCATGTGCAAACACCAGATACTACAGGAAAGCATAAGGAAGCTCTAAAGGTCAATTAGGAATGGTTGTATTTGGAAACAAAGTAGATCTGTGCTAAATTCTAAAAAAAATTTAGGTATGTCAACAACAGTGAGGTGACTATTTTAAATACACCTTGAAAAGATTTCTCATATAGACTTGTAGAGAAAGGATGGGAGGGTTAGTGAGAAGACTGAGGCTTAAGAACAAGAAACTGTAAACTAAATAATCACATCTTGGGATTACCCAGACTGATTAAATATAACTTTGTTAAACATTTGGCTTTCCTCTAGGCTAAGTAGGGAAAGGGGGTGGGGTGGGGGACAAAAATGGTGGAAAAAATGGAGACTCACTTGCTAACCACAAGAGACACTGGTGGTGTAAATGAACACAATGCTTAAATTCATTAAAAGATCTGGTGATATATAACAATATTTTCATATTTACATGTGTAACAATATAACCCTTAGCATAAACCTCTCCATTATAGCTATCCATCACTTTGTTATCCATGTGCTTGCAACCCTGAAGTTTCCAAATACATTCAAAACATTGTTTAATGATAACAACAACAACAACAACAACAACAACAACAATAATGTTATTATTATTAGGAGACAAAATGACCTCACTATGCAAAATAATTACACAAGTGGGCACATTTTTTTTTCCCGGCCTTTCAAACTAAAGGTTACTCTGCTACTCTGAAATCAGCTTTTCTTCTACAGAACCCGGCAAAGGTTGCCTTTTAATAGAAAACAGTGTGAAACCTAATGTTAGCCTTTGTTGTCATCCAAATCCAGTAACCAAATATCTCTAAGAAATTTAAATAGACCTGTTCCTTGTCTAATCAGCCACTACCCTTCCTGTGTGAAAAACAGGATTCCACCTCACATGTTAATAGTATCCACCACATAAACACAAACCCACCCAACCCTCTGCCTCCAAATTAGACGCCATTTTTTGAATCCCCTGAAGACAGTAAAACTGATGAAGTCCTTCTCTCCCTTCCTCCCTCTATTCCCATCCCTTTCCAGGTTATAAAATTGCTAGACAGCTAATACTGAACAAAAATGAAAAGAAAACAAAGTAAAAACAATTAAAATTATGGTTCTTTCATTTGATATCCTTCTCTTTTTCTTTTGGGTTATGGTCTTTTCCAAATTTCACAAATCCAAATCATTGTGATTTTTAGCCAAAGATGGTGTTTAAATATAAAGCATCCTAACACAGAGCTATCAGGTTGGCCTTGATTTATGACAGTGACACCAGATCTATCCAACAGGAACAACTCTTTCTTGTTTCTCTAAAAATTTTCCCAGTTTTTAACCCCAGTTTCAATCAGAGAAAGGGGAAAGGAAGAAAGGGAGGGAGGGAAGAAGGAGAGAGGAAGGGAGGGAGGGAGGGAGGGAGAGAGAGAGAAAGAAGAGAGAGAGAGAGAGAGAGAGAGAGAGAGAGAGAGAGAGAGAGAGAGAGAGAGAGAGAGAGAGAGAGAGAGAGAGAAGATGGGGAGGGATAAAGGGAGTGACAGAGACAAAGTGAGGGGGGTGGAAAATCAGTCTATGGAATACTTAAGATTTATATCACACACAAAGTATTTTTGGAAAAGTATACTAAGGAGGGATTTAACTTTGTTGATACTTTTGCTTATCTAGTTCTTACAACCTTAAATATTGAAAGCTTTCATTTTCACACATCTGTAAATATTAATAAATTCAGTTAATAAGTACGACAACCCTTTCTGCTGCATCTAAAGGCATCTTTGACAAACTAATATACCCCATTGTATTAGGAAGATATAGAAACTGCTGAGGATGAAGAAAACATTGGAGCACTTAACACAGTACCAAGAGCCTGAGACAACGATTACACAGACTGTAACTAGAATTTTGGGAGTATATTATTCTATTAAAATACATTAGATTATAAAGACAAATGCAATTATCTTTCAGATGTTAAATTGTATAAAATCATTTATAGGCTGAAAAAACTATCCTCCGCTATTTTAGTTTTGAGAAAAGAGGCCAGACACACATAGAAATAGAGAAGGAGGGATGGAAAGGAGGAGGGAGAGGCTAAACTTTTTGGAGCATTTTGTAAGAACCATTAATAATCTCTTGGTACATTTAGTGCGGCACTGTAGTCTTAGGTTAAAAGAATACAGGTATTTCCAAGAAGAGGGTTACTTACTAGCTAGACTATTCCATTATCCCATTTTTTAATAAGCTCACTGAAATTAGGGAGAGGGATATTAGGAAGCTTATGAATTAAGAAGAGAAATACTACCCTAAACCGCTAACAGCATGAATAAGCCTTTTCTTTTCTTTTGCATTTGCAAAAACCTTAAGTGGTTTAGGTTATAGTTCATTAATTCTACCACTTAAGGATTTGCATTGTCTAAAAATATTTTAAGAATACTTTTTTCCCCCGACACAGTGTTTACGCATCAGACACAGACTATTTCATTCTAACAAATTTATTTTCTCAATCAGCTCTTACGGAATCACTACTCAAATTAAATTACAATCAAATTATCACATCAAAAGATACCCTTATTACCTAACAACTGTCCATATTTTCATTTCATTTTTGATTTGTGCTCGTCTGAAAAAAACACGTAATACAAGATCTGGGGAAAAATAAATTACCGTTTTGCAGCAGTTCATAGGTATTCTGAATAAAATATTAAAAGAAGTCATTTAATGAAAATATAAAGCAAATATTTTTAGATCAACAACGGATCTAACAATTCTATATTGCCGTCTTTTGAAAAGTCTGTTTATTAAAACCTACCAAAAACACTGCTTGGAAATGGCAGTATTATATAATCACATCCACAGCACCCATTCAATCAAAGTTGGCAACGGATTTAGGAGAGGAGAAGTTCAGATAAGTGCAGCTGCAGATATTCAGTCTTTCTAAATCCCTTTATCTGAATCAGTCCAGAAATAAAAAATAAAAATATTAATAAAAAAAATATTAGCGGTGGATTTTTTTTTAATCTTCCACGTTGAGTGGCAGCCGTCAAAACCATGACTCTGACAGGCTTGACTTATTTCCCATTTCTCTTTTGCTGTTGCCCTTGATTCATGCAAAGTCCTCCTAGAACCTCGAACTTTCACGAACTGGGAGTCTCTCCTCTCTCCACCCCCCCTTCGGTGTTTGTCCCTTTCCCCCTCCCCCACCCATTCTTTTCTTTTGGGGTCAACTTTAAGAATATTTTCTTTCCTTCTTTTTAACTTCAGTTATTCAGTCTGGTTATTTTAGTGCTGTGTGCATATTTCCTTTTTCTGAAGTGAATTGGTATTTTTCATTTCAGAGTAGATGTCTGCTTGCCCCAGAATTATGTGAATATGGCAAAAAAAAAAAAGAAAAGAAAAAAAAAAGAAAAAAGAAAAAAAGAAAAAAAAAAGCCCGGGGTCCTGGAATGCAGGTAGGCACCCTCTGATCAAACCAAATGCCTTTACTTCTTCCTTTCTGGACTGTTCCCATGAAAGAAAGAAAAAGTTTCCGTGAGTCATATTAGACAGCCCTTTGGAGGGAGGGTAAAGTAGGGAGGGGGGCATTTTTTTTTAGAGGAGAGAAGGTGAGAAGTGTCGAGGTGGGTGCTGTCTTGTCCACCGCTTCAACAGGGGATCATTTAGGGGGAAATCTGTAGTTCTGGTGCAGTACGCATTTCCACCTCCCCCCCATTAAAAAAAGAAAAACCACCACAGTACATAAATGCGATCGCTTTGATCGCTTCACCTTTTTTCTCCAAACGTTTTTTCATTATTTATATATGTAGTATATATATATATATATATATATAACCAGTCTAAACAGTCTGGGTATTTATTAAGCTTCTTGTTTTCTTTGCCCCCGTTTTCTTTGATTTTGGTGTTTTTCTCCTCCGTCCTCTTGTCTTTTTTTCTTTCCTTTTTATAAAAGTGTGTGCACGTATGTAGGTATGGGGGGGCGGAGGAGGTGGGGGCCGAGAGGAGGATGGATGTTTTCTCCTCTCTCGCTGTTGTTGCTGCTGATTTTGTTGTGGCGGCGGCGGCGGCGGCAGCGGTAGCTGGAGGTGGTGGTGGCGGCTGGCGGTGGCTGGCGGCAGCTGCGGAGGCGACGGCGGCGGCTGCGGTGTCCGGTGCCTCCCTCTCTTTCTCTTCCTCTCTCATTCTCTCCATCTTCACTGCACGCTCGTCTGCAGTCCGTGGTGTGGGGGTGGTGTGTCCGCGTTCACGTTGCCGACCTGCGAGTAGACATCGTCGGGCGTCTGCTGCTGGATCCCCGGGGGTGTCATCCGCTTTTCTTTCTGCCGCCGGTTGCAGAACCAGACTCTCACCACCTCCTTCTCCAGTTGCAGGCTGTCGGCCAGGTTGGTGATCTCCTGCGCTGAAGGCTTGGGGCACTTGAGGAAATGGCTCTCCAGGGCCCCTTTGACGCTCACCTCGATGGAGGTACGCTTCTTCCTCTTTCTGCCCTGGGCGGCGATCTTGTCGATGCTGGTGGGGCTGCCTGTGGACGAGTCGGCCTCCTCCAGCCACTTGTTCAGCAGCGGCTTCAGCTTACACATATTTTTGAAGCTCAGCTGAAGGGCCTCGAAGCGGCAGATGGTGGTCTGCGAGAACACGTTCCCGTACAGGGTGCCCAAGGCCAGCCCCACGTCTGCCTGCGTGAATCCCAATTTTATCCGCCGCTGCTTGAACTGCTTGGCGAACTGCTCCAGGTCGTCCGAGGTCGGCGTGTCCTCGTCTGAGTGAGGGTCGTGGCTGTTCAGTCCCGGGCCTCCACCGCCGCCTCCGCCCCCACCGTGGTGAGGGGGTCCTTGCGGGTGATGTGGGTGCGACGGGTGAGGCGGGTGCGGGTGGTGGTGGTGGTGATGGTGGTGTTCGCTCAGCTCCGGCGTGTCCCCGCGCACCAGCCCAGGGTGCACCAAGCTTTGGCCGCCGCCGCCCCCCCCACCGCCGCCTCCGGGACCCGGGGGGGCGCTTAGCATCCCGTTCACCGTGAAGCCCCCGGGCTGCGAGTAGAGCAGAGACTGCGGTGGCGGCTGCTGGCCCCCGGCCATGGACGGGAGGTGCGCGGCTGCAGCGGCGGCGGCGGCGGCAGCAGCGGCAGCGGCGGCGGCGCCCCAGCCGCCCGGGTGGCCCTGGTGGGGGGGCGGCGGCGGTGGGGGGCCGAGGTGGGGCGGCCCCCGGTGGTGCAGCGCAGTTCCCGAGTGCAGGTCGTCTCTCCCGGCGCCGCCTTTCACGTCGGGGCCCTGCGGGGGTGGCGGTGGCGGAGGTGGTGGCGGCTGCTGGGGGCTGCCGGCCATACCCACGGCGCTGCTGGACCAGGGCGAGCCCGCTTCCACGGCGGCGGCGGCGGCAGCGGCGGCGGCGGCGGCGGCGTGGGGCAGGGCCGTGACCCACTGGTGAGCGTGGCTAAGCATATGGCCGCCGTTGCTGGCGGCCATGGCCCCTTGCATGAAGTCGCTCTGGACCATCTTGACTGAGGACGGGTCCCCCCGGTAGCCACCCGAGGTCACGGCAGCGCTCCCGGGCTGCATGCCTCCGCCGCCGCCCGCCGCCGCCGCCGCCCCCGCCGCGCCGCCGCCGGAGGCGTCCGAGTGCACGATGGAGCCGGCCGACAGGAGGCTGTTCCCGGGGAGGTACGGGTTAGAAGCCGCCGTGGCCATGCGCTCCGCTCCCGCCACCCCACCGCCGCCACCACCGCGCGCCGCGCAGCAGCGCGGCCGCAGCCGCTGCCGCAGCCGCCGCAGCCGCCGCCGCCTCTCCTCCCTCCTCCTCCTCTCCTCCTCTCCTCCTCTCCCCTCTCCCCTCCCCGCCCCGGGCCCCGCCGGCCCGGCCGCCTTCTCCTCCTCCTCCTCCTCCTCCTCCTCCTCCTCCTCCGCCTCCGCCGCAGCCGCCCCCGGCTGCAGCTGCAACGCCGATCCGCAGGGTGCGGGGGTCGCCGCCGGGCCTTGGTCAACAGCAGCAGCAGCAGCAACAGCAACAGCGCCCTAGGGAGAGGGGCTTGGCTATCTGGGCGCACTCCTTGTCCTCCTTCGGGGATGGTCGTGTTTCCCCCCCCACCCCCTCAAGCTCTTCTTGCGCCAGCTGTAGTTTTTTCTTGGGGAGGGGGCCCAGCGTCGGTCCTCTGCTTTTCGCGGGCTCCTTCTCTCCCTCTTTTTCCCTTTCCAGGGGGTGAGGGTGGACTCTGCCCCAGGCTCCGGTGGTCTCAGTTCACCTGTTAAGTGACGGCTCGAAGGAAACAACAAAGAAAAAGGCTTTTCTTTTCTTCCCTTAAAAATTATATAGATATATAGTATAATCTCAACGAACAACCCTTCTTTTACTCGTCCACTTCCTCCCCCTTCTCCTTTAGGAGCTCATTTCACTTCTTTTCCTCTTAGAGTAAAACTTTTAAAAATTTCCTTTAAGGCGTGAGGATGATGCTGTTGGTTGCTGGTGGTTTAGGGGGAGGGGAGAGTGGCTCCTAGTCTCCCCCTCTTGTCCTCTCTCTCTTCTCTTTACAAGTTTTGTTGCTGTCCTACGAAAACTTCCTGCGATGATGCATTTCTCCAAAGTTGCTATTGCTGGAGCACTTTGTTGCCTCTGAAACAAGAGTCGTTTTTCATCTTCCTCGCAACAGTCACATTCTGGTGAGACATCTTTCCTTTTGGGCAGAAATTAGGAAACAAATGTAACAAGAAAAAAATTGAAACGGAGAAAAAAAGAGGTTGAATTGTTCTGTTACCTTGTTGATGATGGTTTGATTTGATGTTTTATTTTTTATCCCAGCAGCTGTCTGGAGAAGGAGGAGGAAGAGTGCATTGGTAGAGGTGTAGGTGTGTGTGTGCATATAGGGTATCCTTGACACACAATAACTCCAGTGGGGAAGTTGTTGCAAGGCTTGCTGAGTACACTGGTGGTGGTTGGTAGTGGTGGTGGTAGTGTTGCTGGAGAGTAGTTGTAGCAGCAGCTCTGCGCCCTCTCTCTTGCTCTCTCTTCTCTTCTCTTCTCTTCTCTTCTCTTCTCTTCTCTTCTCTTCTCTTCTCTTCTCTTCTCTTCTCTTCTCTTCTCTTCTCTTCTCTTCTCTTCTCTTCTCTTCTCTTCTCTCTCTCTCTTCCCTCTCTTTCACTCTCTTTTTCTCCCCCCTCACTCTCTTTCTCTCTCTCTTTCCGATCTGACAGTTCTCCCTCTGTCCCTCCCTCACAGAGCAGGGACTGCCGAATGTTTACCCTCCGCCGAGAGAGCGCACCCACCACCACACTTTCCCAAATACAAGGAAGTCGAGCGCAAGGGCCCCCGCTGATTGGCTACCCGCTGCGTGATTGACAACCCTAGAATGACTGGCTTAGGACGCGCGGCCCCCCTTCCGGCCGTTCCGATTGGTTGCTTTTTAATTTAGGCAAAGTGTCGTAGAAGCTGGAAATCTGTCGTTCCCCCACCATTCTCCCTCCCTCTCCCGTCTTTCTCCTCCCTTCCCCCCGAAGGCCCCCCCGCCCCCGGCCCCGTCCACAACATCTTAACTCTTAGTGTCCAGCAAATACATTTGAGTTCCCTGAACGTGAGAACCGAGAATAGGATCCAGAGAAAGTGGAAAGGAGTGGAGGAGGGAATGAGAAGGGATGGGGGCTCGGAGGCAGGAGGCAGAGAAAAATCGGTGGGGAAAAATAAATAATAAAAAAATAGTCACCCACCCTATCTAATAATCCATTCTGTCGGCACATAATTCCGGCAATTTGTAAAACGCGCTGTTTGGGATGCCTCTCTGAAATAGATAATACATGTATAGAGAGGTGTCCTCGTCTGTTTCAAAGTTTTGCCATCCATTCACCAAACTCATCCCCCTTCCCTCTTTTCGGCTGGGGTGCTTGCATTTCCGAAAGCATTGGTCATGGCATGTGTCCTCCCTGATCAAAACACTGCAACTTTCCGCAATCCCCTTCACGCTGTCTGCAACCCCCTTTGTTTTAGTTCTCCTTTGCCATCAACGTGGGAAATCTACTCAGTAGTAGTACTGTGCCCGCGTGTGTAAAGAAGCCTATACCTCTCTCTCTCTCTCTCTCTCTCTCTCTCTCTCTCTCTCTCTCTCTCTCTCTCTCTCTCTCTCCTCTCTCTCTCTCTTCTCTCCTCTCTCTCTCTCTCTCTCTCTCTCCTCTCTCTCTCTCTCTCTTCTCTCCCTCTCTCTCCCTCTCTCCCCTCCCTCCCTCTGTCCTCCCCCATTCCCCTTCTCTCTCTCTCCCTCTCTCCCTCCCCTTCTCTCTCCTCTTTCTCTCCTTTCCACCCTCTCTTTCTTGTTCCTCCTTCCTCCGGAATGGGAGCGAGTGTTTATTCTACTCTTGCAACTTTAAGGGTTCGTATGTAAGCCATACACTGTATTTGAAAATCAAATCAGTCCAGCCTTCCCCCAGGTACTGGTAGTTCGTGCATCAAACCCGAATGGCCTTCAGAAATTCCCGATCCGACAGGAATGGAGCCAAAAACGCACGAATCAATTGCTCTGCTCTCTAGTTTGTGGCGGGTACATTTTTATTAGGGTTATTATTATTAGCAGTAGTAGTAATAATACTCCAATACCACCCCCCCGCCCCCAGTCAATGTTACGTGTGGTTGGAGTTGGAGGGGGTGTGTATATGTAGATGTGAATGGTCGGATCTAATGTTTTATTATTTCCTAGCCTGGCTGAAAGAGTTAAGGGGGACGGGAGGGGGAGTGCGTAGAGGAGGAGGGAGAAGAGGAGAGGAGAGGGTGAGATGCGACCAAGCGGAAACGCTGCACAGAGGCAACCTCAGCGAACCAAGAAAAAAGAGAAAGTGGCAACCAAAACAAGGGCAAATTGAACACTCCTCGGGGATTTCCAAAGAAATAACACAATTCGGACATTCACTGCATACATCTTTGCTAATGATTGTATATATGGGTGCATCCTATATACCTAGCACAACATAGAATGGTATACATATTTGCATACAGTGTGGATAGATGCAGAATATAGGCATATTAAAATGTGCTATGTATTCCTCGAGACCTATCTGTTCCTTCGCAGGCAAATATGCACAGTGCATGCATGTGCTGCATGGAGGTAGGTAGAAATCCACATGTGTATTCCCATTAAAATGTGAACCATAGTACCCTTCTCTCCAGGTTAATAATTTCACTGCAGAATTCAGCTAGGTGAACTCAGTTTACAATACAGCTACATCCCAACACCAAGCGTGCACCAGAATATGCGTGATTTGAAGATTAATTGTAGACGGGTAGAATTTAGTCCAGCTCCAGCTCGATCGGTGAAAGATACCATCTTAGGTAGGTTTAGCTAAACCATCAACGTGAACTATACAGATCTGAAGGGCAGTGGTAACTAAACCCTAAACATAACGATTTTTTTTGTCCCCTTGCGTCCTCCAAAGGTTTCTTTTATATGTGTGTGTATATGTCTATATGAAAGATCTAACACAGATTTCATTGAATAAATCTGAGATCTCCAGGTGCAGACGTTTGAATAAGTCAGTGCCAGAACCCCATGTTTTCCTTTCCAGCCGATTTTGCTTGGATCAGGCTCAAAAACCGAGTGAGTCTCGTGGTTTTGTTTACACTGAATGGGGAGGATAGGAACGGTGCCATGGGGCCGCCTTTCATTAATATACAGTGAGGATTTTGTCTAAATTACTGCTATGAATTTCACAGTACACGCTTTCAAAAGCCGTCTCAGGTGGCCTGATGAAACGTGATAGTGCCTCGGCAAACAGATCTACTTGCTTTTTCTTTCTTTTTTCTTTTTCTTTTTTTCTATAAAGGGGGGTGTGTGTATGGGGGGGATGACCCTAAAAATGCTGTGCGCTTAGATAACAGAAATATACCAAGTTAGAATTTTCCCTTCTTATCCCTTTCTTTTTACTTACTTTCTAACTCCCCCCCACCATACACTCTACCCCACCCCACCCACCCCCTCCCTTTGAGGAGTGTGATTGTTTTGTCTGGAAAAAAATCCAAAGTATATAACAAGGGGAGAACAGTTAGTGCTGATTTTCATTTGCATAAATTTTCATATATTTTGGTGAAAATAATAGACTAGTGGAGAGCTAGGCTTAGTGGAGTCAGTGTAAAGGAAAGTCTTAGGATGGATGGTTTCGTTGGAGTTCAGAACATGCTCTTTTTCCCTGTCACCTTATTAAAACCTAAAATAAAGCTACTTAAAAATTCTAAACCGGAAGTTTGCTAGGTAAGTGTTTTTCATTTTCTTATATTTTAATTAATTGATTTCCTTTACAAGTCTTTGGAAATTATTTTCACTGCTTAGGAGAAGACCGAGTGCTTTGGCAGTTATTTGGAAGGCAAGTGGGCCTAGTCTGTGCATGTATGTGTGTGGGAAACAACCTCAGTGAAATATTACATAAAAAGGATGGATTCATTCCAAAGCTCAAGGCAGAAAAGGACCCTTTTCTGCTAGACAGTCTGTGACTTACTACAGTACTTTACTTCTCTGGACACTATGCATTATAGTGGCTTTTTAAAAAAGGTCCCAGAAAAACAGTAGATATTTCAAAGTGTGTGGGAAATTATAAATATTTCTTATTTTCAAATGTTTCTTCAGAAAAAAACCCCTCTTATGAGTGTGTGTGTGTGTGTGTGTGTGTGTGTGTGTGTGTGTAAATTATAGCTTTAGCCAGCGTTGGGGTGGTAAACTACAATAGTGTGACCCGGCTAGAAGGCTAGGAGGGGAGGGCT